TTCATTTCTATCTATAAAGTAGCATTTTTTAAACATAAAAAAATCTTCTTTTCACATACTTTCCCTGCCTTTATTAAAAAAACCTTTGTAATTACTGAATGGCTAGATGTTTAAGCTAGTCCAAACCGTACCTGACCTTGTCCATCTTATATGTCTGGGTGATGCACAGGTTAGAGGAAGCATGCACTAACATGTATATTTTGTCACAGTGATTGGAAGACAACTAAAGGCCACATAAAGGAACATTGCTAAAGAGAAAAATAATCAATTAGGATTGCAATCTAACACAATACAGATTTAATAAGTTATAAAATTAATTTGGATAAATATTCTTGAAAAGGAAAACTTCAGCAGGGCTCTGGAAGAAGAGTAGATGAATGAAATTAATTGGACAGCTGTTTCAAAGGGCTTAGCCTTACATGATGAGTCAAATGACCTTACAGCATGCTGCAATCTATGCTTTGTCAATATCGTTCCAAATACAGTTCTGCACCCCCACCTTGATCTTGTTACTCAGAAATTAAAATTACCTAAGATTTAATAATAATCAGGAAAATGTACAAATATTTCCATGCTTTATGCAGAAAATACATTAGATTCCTTTCTTCTGTGAAAACCCCGAGTTCATGCCATCACCATCTCAAGTACGATTCTGACCCCTAGTCAGTCTCCTTTCCAAACCCCTTCACTTGAACTCACAAAGTCTACAATGAAAGTCTTCACTTTCTTCCTATCAGTGATCATCTCCAAACCCTCACAAATGGCGTTTAATTTTTTTGGTCTACTTTCAAACTACTGCAAATTTAATCTACTACTTGCACACCAAGCCTCTAACTCTTTTAAATTTCTTCACCCTAGCATGGACATTCAATTTTTTAATCTCTGCAGTCTAGTCTTAGTGACTTAGTTCTCTCTCTCAGCATTCAAAATACATGGAGCCAGATAGCAATATCACCCCAACAAGGTGATTCCAGGAAAATTGAAAGAAAGAACAGCCAAACAGAAAAAAGTTGGTACCATGCATGGAACTAACAACCTTTGACAGGAACTGCACTTCCATTCACAGGCCAGTTCTCCCCACAGTCGCTGCTGATTGGCTCACTAGTGTAAGAGGGCATATCTGCCAGGCAAGATCAGGGCTATATGCGTCTGTATTCACCAAAGGTTGGAAGAATCAGAGAGAAGAATGAAATGTACAAAATTCGAACAAAGCTGGACAGACTAGATGAAGGACAGATGTTTCCTTTAGTTGGGAATAGACTATTTATGACTAAAATGAGGAAATCTTTCTTCACTCAAACAGTAGTGAACTTGTCGAATTCTCTATCATAGAAGGCTGCAGATGCCAAGTTACTGAATGTATTCAATGAAGAAACCGTCTTTTTAGATTTAAAAGGCATCTAAATGTATGGGAAGAATGTGGGAAACTGGCGTCGAGATGAGAGTATCAGTCAGATCATGTTGAATGGCAGAGCAGGCTCAAAGGGCCAAATGGCAGACTCCTGCTTCTAGTCTCTATGTAACAATGGATAACATAGCTGACCGGGAACCAGTAAAACTTGACGTCACAGATGATGCTTGTAAATTAATGTGTTTTTAATGAAGTATGCGGCAGTTATTGGGGGGGGGGGGGGGCAGGAAAAAAAACTACTGTTGCTAACTTGTAGCCGTTGTCTTGTGCCAATTTAAATACAATGGAGTCTTGGAAATTTAATCTTGGAAATAAATCTTCCTGTGGGCTGTGGCTTATGTGGAACCAGAGGTTCATTATCTTTCATTTTTTCCTATTTCTATATTAAATCAACTACTAGTCATATTTTGAATAACTGAAATTTGGAGGTGATAATGGCCATTCCACTGCCGTTTTTTTCAAATACTTTAAACTATTATGTTAGGACATGTAGCTTAGATTTCATCCTATAAAAAGGCAGTTGCTTCAGCCCATAATCTTTAACTCAGATCTCCTGCTTTCTGAGCATGTTTTTCTTGATTTTTAAAATAATATCATTGTATTCTCAAATATCTACTATCCTGGAAAGGCCTAGTTTTCACTAAACAAGTATTCACACAGACTGAGATAGCAAGAACTGCAGATGTTGGAGTCAGAGATAACACAGTGTGGAGCTGGAGGAACACAGCAGGCCAGGCAGCTCTAGAGGAGCAGGAAAGTTGACGTTTCAGGTGGGGACTCTTCTGCAGAAATGGGGACGGGGAGGGGAGCTCAGAAATAAACAAAGAGAGAAGGGGTGGGGCTGGGGAAGGTAGGTTGGATGGTGATAGGCAAGTGCATGTAGGCAGTGGTGGGGATTGGTCAGTGAGATGGGAGTGGCGGATAGGTGGGAGAGAAGATGGACAGGTTGTGTCAGGTCAAGGAGGCGGGGATGGTCATGGGATGAGGCCAGGGACGGGGAGATTTTGAAACTGGTAAAATCCTCATTTAGGCCACTGGGCTGTAGGCTCCCAAGGTGGAATACAGTTCATAGAATAGAATCATAGAATCCCTACAATGTGGAAACAGGCCCTTCGGCCCAACAAGTCCACACCGACCCTTGGAGCATCCCACCCAAACCCATTCCCCTACAACCCACCTAATCTACACATCCCTGAACTCTACAGGCAATTTAGCATAGCCAATCCACCTAGCCTGAACATCTTTGGACTGTGGGAGGAAACCGGAGTACCCGGAGGAAACCCACGCAGACACGGGGAGACTGTGTGAAGTTTGCACAGTCACCCGAGGGTGGAATTGAACCCGGGTTCCTGGCACTGTGAGGCAGCAGTACTAACCACTGAGCCACTGTGCCACCCTAATAGGTGGTGGTGGGGAGGAAAATATATCTACACAGACTGTTGCGTTTAATGAAATTGAGTTGATGACACTGCTGCAATTCCAATAGTCTCCTTTTTGAAATAGATCACATAACAATGTTAAAAGCACTTAGTAGAACCAGTGACTAACTTTTTAGACAGCTAAAAGGTTTATTTACTTACCCAACTCATTGAGACTCTGAGCAGCTTTAGTGATTTCCCTGCTTCCTCCCTGTAGCTGACCTTGGAGCCGTTTACTTAGGTACAAGATACGGATTATTCTTCGAAGCAAATCACAGGCTGCCTGAATGAGATTCAAAGAATACTGATTTGCTGAATGTTTTGGAGACAGTGACCTTGTGAACGAGTTTTCTTAAGTTTATAAAAGTACAACCTGCATTGCTTATTTTTGTCTTAAAAGATGTGAGATTATTATGTTTTTTTTCTTAAATGCAAACTCGTACAGATTTAAACCTCATCATGTCACTTACTTCTACAGTTCACATGTGAATACCACAATAATAGACCATTTGCTCGATACCATCAAGAATTACAATGCTCTTTTCCTAACTAGAACATAAATGGTTAAGATCCATCGTTTCCAAAACCTTAAATCTCTTCTTTAACAGGTCAGAGTAAGGCCATTTGATCATAGATAAGTTGATTCTTCCCAAAGTAAGAAAATATCATAAATCCCACATAATTTTCTTTCTACCTCTGTCTCAATTACTTTCATTGATTTTCTTATTCATATACCGTTAGTTTGATTATCACTTGTATACCAAGCATTGACTTGATACAATACTTCTCAGTAAGTTAGAATTGTCTCTCTTGGGTTTTCATTATATTTTTGTGCAATCAAGCAAGTATGAGGCAATGCTGACTTCCAATTTCTCAATAATTGTAAAATTGAATAATTTTAAAATTGTAACAAACCCCATTAAAATGAAACAGTTGAGCCATATTCAAAAACAGTAATGGACCTGTTCGGAGTTTGGAACGATGAAGGGTGATTTTATTGAAAAGACCTTATTGATCTTGAGTGAATCTGGCAGAGCAGCCTTTGGGAAGATTTTTCGACTAGTGGGGAATCTCAGACTAAGTGACATAGTTACAGAATAAGCGGATATTCATTTAAAACCAAGACGCAAAGGAATTTTCTTCTCCTTGAGGGGTAATGATTGTCTGGAATTCTCTACCCTGAAGAGTCATGGAGGATAAAACACAAAGTACTTAAAGAAGAGGTACACAGATTTTCGAAACAATAATGAGGTGAGGGCTTTGATGATCTTGCACAAAAGAGCAGTTAATGCCTGGGGCAGATCTTCTCAAATAGCACAGCCATTAGCCTACTCGTCTTGCTATGTCTCACATTCTTCTTAGCAAGTGGAATAAGTGTGCAGAACTGCAGAACTCCACAGAACAGAGGTATATGGATAACTTGATACATTAGTTAGTATGTAGA